CCTTGTGCTGACCTTGTGCTGACCTTGTGTTGACCTTGTGCTGACCTGCATATGACAATAAACCCGAACCGTTTCAGTTTGAATTAAGAAAATCCTTGGACAAAAAGCAAAAAGACAGCGGCTGTCCTTTGAAAGAATGAAACTTTAGATCAACTTTAATTCAATTAAACTTTAAATGTTGCAGTTGCTTTCAGAAAGCAGCGATCCATGTCGGTCCTGACCTCGCTCAGACTAGCCTGCAGCTCGTCAGTCAAACCAATAAATGCTTTTTGTCCAAACTGAGATTACACACCGTGTTCCTAACCTTTCCATAAACCTGTCAGGGATCGTGTGTCTGCGACGCCACGTGTGTCTGCATGTCAGGAGTCACATGGCCCCGTCATGACACAGACACGTATGTGACGTACGGAGGAGCTCCAGGTAACAAACGAAGAGATGAGTGTGTCTAACGGTGGGTCCCAGAGAAGACACAGGGTCCCCGACTGAGCTGAGCCAGGTAAGTCCACGTGAACAGAGTCGTTTAGAAGAAGAGCGTGTTGTTTGAACAGAGCGGCTCCGATCCGTGTGTCAGAGAAGCATCCGCATTGGGAGCAGGATTCCCAACGGTCCAAACGCTGAAGCTGTTTGAGATCCAGCTGTTTCCAGTTTGTTTTCATCTGCAGCAGCTGCTGAGCGCCGGTGTGAGTCGCACAAGCTGCTGCGACACAAGCGTCACCTCGGCGCCTGCAGGGTGACGCTTGTGGAGGCCCCTCCATCCAGCAGCTCTGGAGTCCTGCTCAGGTCACGTGCAGTCAAACGTCCTCTGCTTGTCCAAGTCTGGAAACAAAGCTCAGGAGCTCCAGATGTGCAGCGTCAACGTCACGTGTTGGCAGTTTGAGACGTTTCTGTAAAAATCTGCAGTTTGTCGAGCAGCTTTCTGTAGAAAGCTCTAAAGAACTTTGAGATTTGAAAAGGGTTCATGTCGGCCATGTTTATCTTTCTGCCTCTTGTGTGAACGATCATGAAGCGTTCCTTCTGATCCACTTTGCATCAAATCCTGAATCAAAACGTTCGGCTCTTTCAGGACAGTCCAACTTTAGCTGTTTGAAATATTTAGCCTTTTCTGCCGTTTTGTTTCTCAGAAAATGAACTGAGCTCATTTTGCATCCTTCACATCTTCAGACGTGTTTACACCTTTTGCTGCTCCTTTCTCTTTTTGTTCTGCTTCAGCTTCTTTCAGCTTCCTCATGAAAATATAAACCTTTTTCAGCTACTTTCAGCTACTTTCAGCTGGTTTGTGATGCTTTCAGTTTCTTTCTGCTAACTACAACATTTTTGTGCTTCTTCTAACTTCTTGATGCAAATTTCAGCTTTTTTTGCAAATTTCAGCTTTTTCTGCTATTTCAGCTATTTTGCTGTTTTATGTTAATTTAAGCTTTTTCAGCTCATTCCACATTTTTTGCACTTATTTCAACTTTTTTAATCTTCGTAATTCAGCACAAATGTGCTCGCTCCACTTCCTTCTGGTAATTTCAGCTTCTTTCTGCTGTTTTAGCTACTTTCATCCATCCATCCATTTTCTTCCACTTATCCGGGGCCGGGTGGTGGGGGTAGCAGCCGAAGTAGGGAGGCCCAGACTTCCCTCTCCTCAGCTACATGGTCCAGCTCCTCCGGGGGAATCCCGAGGCGTTCCCAGGCCAGAAACATCGTCCCTCCAGCTACTTCCAGCTTCAGCTGTTGTTGTTCTTTTTGCTCATGTCTGCTTTCTTCAGCTAACTTTTCATTCAACCTTTATGTCTGCAGGTTAGTCTCATTGAGCTGCGAGGACCCGTTCACAACAGAGACCTGATTTTAACACGACAGTAGACAGTCATAGAAACATATAGAATAAAAAGTAGAAAAATAAAAACAGCTAGGTTGTAAAACATGTCTGGTTTGTTTTATTCGCACCAGATTTTGGCAGGAAATGCAGTTTGTGTAGTTTCATTAAAATGTGAGTCTTTAAATGTGTCAAACTGGCACACAGTGAGACGATGAGAAGTGGGAGGGAGGGAGGGAGGCAGGGAGGGGGAGAGGCGTCTTGAGGCCAGCCCCTGAGCTGTCCCAACTGAACCTCCTCCACTTCAGCTGCTGTCAGGAGTGGAGGCAGACGCAGAGCAGGACACAACAATGCAGGTAAACTCTTTTCATTCCACGTCTGAAGCAACGAGTGACAAACTGACTTTCTCACACCGTCACTGTGGGAGCAAACAGATTCAATCAAGTTTGTATAAAAATCAAGTTGTTGTAATGTTTAAAAGCAACTTTTTTATTAACATGTAACTAAATGTGAGTCGTAAAGCTTTTGAGCGTGGAGCAAAAGATAATAATAATTTAAAAAACGCATTTATTGTCGGTCTAAAACAAATTCCAGAAACCTTTCTGTTGCGTAACTCAATCATTTGTCAATTTAAAATGAGTCTTGTGAGTCAGTGCTCATCACCAGATGTTTGAGGATTCCAGCGTGTGGAACGATCCAGATTAAATCTTCCCGTCCGACTCGTGCACAGAAAACAGTCTCAGGATTATTGTTGGCACATCACAGACGAGCTGTTCCTCTCAGACATTAAGTGGCAGCTCTGGCCTGCTACAACAGGGCTTGTCTTCTTTAGTTGGAGGGTCGGGGGTTTGATTTCCAGCCCTGAAGCTTCCTTCAGTGTCCCTGAGCAAGACTCTAAACACCCTGCTGCCTCCAGAATGAACGACGGACACAAACATCTGCAGATGTGCAGATGTTTGTGTGAGGAGTGAAGGAAAACTGTAGAAAGTGTTTAGCACAAACAGAGACAGGATGGAATGGTGCTCTGTGGAATATTTATATATATATATA